CAAGTCCTCTGGAAGAGCAACCAGTGTTTTTAGTGGCTGAGCTATCTCTCCAGTCCCAATGCTTTTTAATTTTTAAAATTAATTAATTAGTTAAAAAATTTAAAAATTTATGTACATTGGTGTTTTGCCACAGAACTGGAGTTACAGACAGTTGTGAGCTGCCATGTAGGTGCTGGGAATTGAACCTGGGTCCTCTCAAAGAACATTCAGTGCTCTTAACCACTGAGCCATCTCCCCAGCCCCCTAAAAAGTTTCTTGAGACAGGGTCTCTCTACATAGCCATGGTTGTCCTAGAACTCACAATATAGACCTGGCTGACCCAGTACTCATGGAGATCCACCTGCCTCAGCTTCCTGAGTGCTGGAAACCAAACTTGGGTTCTCTGGAAGAGCAGTAACCCTTCTAACAATTGTGGTGTCTCTCCAGCACCGCAATATTTTATTCTTACGGCAATATGATACATAACTGGAAAACAGGAGAGATCAGAGACAATCTTACAGTGAGCACTAATATAACTCTGGAAACCATCTTTCTTGTTTTTGGTTTTTGAAGGCCTTTTTGGTTTCTTGAGACAGCGCCTCAAGCAGCCCAGGCTGGCTTTAGACTCATTCTGTATCCAAATCTTTCCTTGAACTACCAATCTTTGAGCCCCTGCCCCCTCAATGTTAACTTACAGACATGTGCAGTGGTGACACAAACCTTTAATCAGGAGGCAGAGGCAGGCAGATATCTGTGAGTTCAAGGCCAGCCTGGTTTTCGGGAAGGATAACTCAGCTATCCATTTCTAGCAGGCAAAATTCGCCAGGTTTGAGATCAGTTGTTGGGACAATGTATGAGTGAGTTCCATGACCATCAGGACTACACAGAAAAAAACTGTCTAGAAAAACCAAAGAAGGGGCTGGGGATTTAGCACAGTGGTAGAGCGCTTGCCTAACAAGCTCAAGGCCCTGGGTTCGGTCCTCAGCTCCAAGGGAAAAAAAAAAAAAACAAAGAAAGAAACAAACAGGTATGTGCCACATGCCTACTCAAAAATCTTTTAAAAAATATTCAATTTATTGTTTTTTAAATTCTGTGTGGATATATATGTCTGCCAGTGTTATGTACATGTGATGCAGGTACCTACATAAGCCAGAGGCAACAGATCCCCCGGAGCTGGAGGATCTGATGATTGTACCACTCGACAAGGGTACTGGGAACTGAACAGGTCCTCAGGAAGAGCAGCAAGTGCTCTGAACTGCTGAGCCATCTCTCCAGGCCCCATCTTTTTTCTTCTATATACAACTTGCAAATTTCTAATCATAAGTTATAGGTAATTTTGTAAAGCTTCCATTTGGCATGGTCTCAAACACGGGAGGTTTTCCCGAAAGAAACGTAAATGCTTAACAGCATTTTTCTCACTATTATGAAAATGTTTAATTATTACAAGTAATATTAAATTAGTTATTAGAATTATTATGCATTTGGTTATATTCAATCAGTGCTTACTATTAAGAACCCTTTGTTCTCGCTTTCTAGGTCTAGGCTCTGAGGGTGCTGCAGTGAACATGGCAGATTCCATCTCCAAAGTCTCCCTGACACTCAGATTCTAGGGGGACGGGCAGTAAACAAATCATCTGGACGGTGCCCTGGATTAGTTCTACAACAGGAGGGTGTCAGTGTCAGTGGGAAAGGTAGCACAAGCTGGGGGCACACCTTTAATCCCAGTGCTAGGAAAGCAGATCTCTGAGAGTTCAAGGTCAGCCTGGTCTACATGGTGAGTTACAGGCCAGCCAGGGCTTCATCTCAGAAACAAAAAGTAGAAAAAGGTAACCCAGGAGAGGAGGGGAGAAGAGCTGGGGGTCAGGGAAGCCCTTGCATTTACAGCAGAAGTGTGACGTTGCTTTTGGTCAGGGAATTTTGTCAAAGTCCTGGAAATAAAGCTAGGATACATGGGAAGGCAGAGCGGCGCACTTTGGAGGGTGGGTTATTCCAAGAATATTGACCTGAGGATCTAGAAAGCCAGCACAGAGGCAGGATTTTAAGCCAACAAAGTGATTTTAGGCCAAGAAGAGATTAAAGATTGTGGCTTAGGGCAAGTCAGGGGTCAGAGGTGACAGAATAATGTAAATTCACCAGATCCCCGAAACTATTCTCTGTGAAAATCAATATTCTTTTTAAAAATTACTGTGTGTGAGTGTTGGATCCTGGAATTACAGACAGCTGTGAGCCGCCATGTCAGTGCTGGGAATTGAACCCGGGGACTCTGGAAGAGCAGTCAGTGCTCTTAACTGCTAAGCCATCTCTCCAGCCCCCGGAAATCAATATTTTTGTCATTATTTTACAAGTGATGAATCTGAGGTGTAAAAGGGGTTTTTAAAAAGCCTGTCAATGGCCACATTGCAGAGCTGGGATTTGAACTGGTATCACGAGCTTAGCCCCTGTGTTACAGAGGTGTGCCCAGTTCAGTGGGCATTTTTTCCAGGTAGAAAAACTGGGTCTTAAGGTAAGTAATCTGTTAATATTGGGGGCAGGGCTGTGGTAGAAACCCTCTTCCTGCTTTTTCTTTCTTTCTTTTTTTTTCTTTGTGCAGGCACTTGATCCCAGGCCTTAGGTGTCCCTTCTACCACTGAGTTACACCCCCATCCCCAAAGGGAGCTCTGCTTGAAACTTTCATTTATTTATTTATTTATTTATTTGCTTTGGTTTTTTAAGACCTGGCTTCTCTGTGTAGCCCTGGCTGTCCTGGATCTTGCTCTATAGACCAGGCTGGCCTCAAACTCGCAGAGATCTTACTGCCTCTGCCTCCCGAGTGCTGGGATTAAAGGTGTGAGTCACCACCGCCCGGCTAAACTTATTTTTATTACACTTATTTATGTGTGTGTGAGTGGGGTGGGGCACATGTGCCAGGGTGGTATGTGTGTGTGTGGGGGGGCACATGTGCCAGGGTGGTATGTGTGGGGGGGGCACATGTGCCAGGGTGGTATGTGTGTGTGTGTGGGGGCACATGTGCCAGGGTGGTATGTGTGTGTGGGGGCACATGTGTCAGGGTGTTCTATGAATGTCAGAGAACAGCTTGTGGGGTCCATTCTCTCCTCCTACCATCTGAGAGCAAACTTGGGTTGTCAGGCTCGGTGGCAAATGCCTTTGACCCACTCACTAACCATGTTGTCACCTTGAGGTATCTGGGTTGTTGTTGTTGTTGTTGTTGTTATTATTGGGACAGGGTGTCACTGTGTAGCCCTGGCTGGCCTGGAATTTGTTATGTAGACCAGACTGGCCCCCAACTCACAGAGATCTGCCTGTCTCTACCTCTCAAGCGCCACACTTCAAGGCCTGTGCCGCCATGCCCAACGGAGCTCTGCTCTTTCAAACCAGCCTGGGACTTGTAGGACATTTAAGACAGGATGGAAGCTTCATGCCTCTCCTTCACGCCACATCCACACTGGCAGGCCGGGTCAATGTCAACGCCTCACTCTTGCTTCCTCCTCGTCTGGGGAGGAGACCTATGGTTGGATAGGACTCTTGACCTCCAGATGCTCAGGTGTTGGCCCAAACTCTCTAGCCATGGGTGACCTCCATCTTCTGAAGTGCTGATCCCCCTGCCTTCCCCTCCGAGTGTTGAATTATAGGCACGAAACACCTGGTTTATGTGCTGCAGCTTGAACCCAGGGCCTGGCATACGCTAGGCCCACATGCTACTAACTGAGCTACGTCCCCAGTTCTAGCCAGTGCTTCTGGATGGCCACCTGCCTTGGCTTCCCATGGTGCCCACCACTGAGCTATTGACTCGGGAAGAGCAAGACATAGGGTGGCTCAGATGCCTGGTAAGACAACCGTGAAGCCCTCTGAGTTCTGACCTGCTGTGTTTCTGGAGCCTTATCTTGACTACACTTTCCTGCTGTCTCTCTTGGGGCCCAGCACCGGATAGGAGTCTCAGCAGAAGGTGGATGACCTGAGTTCTCATTCCAGCCAAGCCAATAACTCAGCTTCAGCAAGCTACTTCCTGTCTGTGGACCTCCATTTCCTTCTCTGTAAGACTTGGTGGTGGTCCAAACTCAGCCACCTACACTGG